TCACAGCTTCTCTGCCTGCATGACTGTAGGAGTGCAGGCTTATCTAGATACAGCTGTGGTCTCCCTCTGCTGCAGCCACCATAACAGCTTGTTTTCTCCGTCTTTTCCCCCTCTAGATTTATGGATTATTTCTTAAACATGAATTCACTGTGCCCTGTCAACATAGGGACAAAGTGTTTTTACTGTAGTTGCCGACATTAAACCTGAGATGGAAATGAATTTGAGGGTAGTTCAAAATGTTCAAGAAAAAATAGAATTAAAAGATAGTATGAATCTTTCCAGGAACTTTTTGAAGAACCCTCATATATTCCCACAACCCTCCTTTACAGGATAAGTATGTTGTGTGGAAGAGAATTCAAGTGTAACTTTGCTACTTTTTTTTTCCCCCCCAAAGGAATATTTCACACAAAATAATGTCTAAATTTCCCTTTATTTGATTGTTTTTAATTCTCCTTGAGAGTAAGGGCTTTTAGAGGGGTAAATTCTTTGTTTTTAACATTTTTGATAATCTGTATCTATTTCTTACACATGTCTTAGCAATTTTAGGTTCACTGTACTACTTTTGTCACAACTTCCAATTAAATATTTTCTTTTCTATCATTTCTGGTTTGTGCTTACTCTGTTTGGAATTGCTGTTTCAAACCTCTTCTATTCATTCTTCAGGAAACATCACAAATGTTAAGCCATTTGAAAAGACTTCTCTGATCACCATATGTTAGTTGTTTACTTTTCTGTACTATGTGCCACTATGTGCCACTATCAGCCACCACTCTTGCAATATTGTCACTGTTTGTGTCTGCATTGCATTGAACAAAAGATCTCAAAGATAGGAACTTTCTTTCTTTATCTTTGTGTCCTGAAATCCTACTATAGTGCCTGGTATAGTATAGATACTTAGTAAACTATCAAGGCAAAAAATGGTGTAGCATCCAAAGAAAAACACAAATCTCTGCAGGTCCTGGACCAGTGATCGAAAATGTGCTAAGCCTAGAGGTTGTTCTCTAAAGAGAAAAAAAGAGGATTAGTTCATATTTGTGACTTATTGGGATACATTTTTTATCTTGACTAATTTTATTTTAGCTAATGAGTGAGTAGACAAAACTACTTAAACTTTCTCTTTATATTTATTCTTAAATTATTGGGAAAGTTTGCTGTTTATAAAATGTTTTCTGGGGGCCGGCCCGGTGGCGCACTGGATAGTGC